TGAGGCCCATGTAGTGATGCATGTGGCATTTCATACAAATTCTCGACCTATAAGGAATAAAGGTCGTGCCACTGGGCTCTAGTACAGCTGTCACGATGCTCCACGGACAATGTCGGTGGGAGCTGTATGCCCAAATTGCGAACGGCGCTCAGTCTGCAGAAAACACCACAGTGGCTAGTAACGTTTTTGCCTCAGGGACACCAGCGGTAGCAGTAGAGCTCCTTGTAAAAGAGTTCGTCCAGGGAAGTACTGCCACCTTACCAATTTCTGCCTGGCGGCAGATGTGTAGCTGTGATGTGAGCACTCGCGGAAATGCTTAGAACCGCTTTGTATAGTGCGTCGGCACGGTGTGATATAGAAGTCCGAACGTTGCGGCGACCGCGGTGGCGACTTGACAAATTACTATTTATTTTTCGCCGTTTCTTTAATCTGAATGATAACTGACTTTTTTATAGGAAAACAATCTTTTTTGTGGTAGGTAATGGATGTTATGAGAAAGTTTCATTGCCTTATGAACTTCTGACTTGCTTTCTATTACGTTCTTTCTGTACTTGGACAATTTCAACAAAATGATTCGCATAAACTTTGTGGTGTTTTTGCTTAACTCAAGCGAGAAACGGTAGGATTGAAATTCATTTGTAATCTTTACAACATATAGCGGAATCCAATAATTAAATTACGTAACACGTAACGTATTGTTACAACGATAATTATATTTTTATAAATTACATGTGTGATGACACTTACAAAGTAATATAAATCTGTTTTTTTACTCTTTTTAAATTTGAGAAGATAGTTACATGACATTTCTTCAATTCTTTTTTTTAATCTTTCGTTGGGTAAAATTTCCGAAAAGTTGAGAAAATTGGATAAATATAATTCGAAGGCTCATCTTATGTTCGACGTTTAGATACATATTTTGAAGTTTTATTTAGTGTGAATTATAAAATAAAATTGTATAACTAAAAGCAAGTTAGAGTAAAATGAGATTTAAAATGGTTGGATAAGAACGAAAAAAAATCATAGGTAAAAAAAAATATAATTGCTTCATCGTTTCCGTTCCCTATTTTCTTAGAGAATGGAATAATCTCAGTACAGAGTACTAAAAAAACCGACCTCAAAAGTACGTGGAATTACGTCTATTTGCTAAGTTTCATTGAAATATCCCCTAGTTCGCCACTATACAGGACTTGATACTGGAGATAATAAAAATAGGTTCTCACTACGACACTACTCAAAGTATATCGAGAGAATAACGCCTTGAATTGGAGAAATAGCAAAATCAACAAAATGATTGCTAAAAGTAATTGCTCCTAATTTAAAGTTAGGCGCTATTTATAAAAATGAATCTTCATGCGTGAACAGCCACCATTGGAGGTGAATGATTTTCTTCAAAATGAAATGGGACCACTACGGAAGTACCCCTTTTCCAACAAAAAAAAAAACAAAAAAAAACATACAGTCGAATTGAGAACCTCCTCCTTTTTTAAAGTCGGTTAAAAAAAATATAGTCTAAGTATTTTCGACGTTTGACAGGTGTCAACTGTCGTATGAGGAAAAATCTTAAGATACAAAAGATAGTTATTTTTACTTGACATTGGCAAAATCATTGATTATTTCGATGGGGCCATAACATTTAAAAGAAGAAGAAGATACAAAAGTTAAAGTTGAAGTTAGAGGATGGGGAAAAATATAGGAAAATTATTGGGAAAAATATTTAATTTCCTGAAAAATATGATTTTTTCAAAATGGAAACTTTAATTATTCAACTACAGCTAACGTCACCTGCATACACTTTTACGCTTTTCTTTAATTTTGTTTCATCATCTCTTCATCTCAGCCCGTTAACAACCACTGCTGGGTAATAGGCCTCCTCTTTTGCACGCCAGGTCAATCGGTCCTGTACGAGTGTCATCGACAATGTTCCAGCCACCCCGACGATGTCGTTCGATCATCTAGCAGGTGGTGTGCCTCGAATAATAATAATTTTATTTACTATGTATATACACACTCCATTATAACGCACACACTCAACATAGCCCCGCACTAGGAAAACCCAGTGTCGCGGGTGCCATGGACACACGCATAGACAACCACAAATTACACCCAAATTCACGAGAGATATAAATGTAGGTCATACAACTATTTCTCCCGGCATGGGAATCAAACCTGGGACCTCTGCGTGGCAGTCCGGCATGGTAACCGTAAGGCTACGGAGGCAATTATGAAATTAATAACGGATTTACGTTATTGGGCCTCTCACAACCGGAATGGAAATATCGAGAAAAAAACCTAACACGTATAATATATTTACCCGTTTACATTCCATCTAAATACCTATACAAAAGAGACCCGAAGTAACGTATTAACATACAGCGAAACTGCTGAAACTAGAAATATGAAATGTCGACTATTTTAAACACAGACCACATTTCTTTCTTCCGTGATTTTAAACCTTGAATCTGTTGCAGGGAAATTTTAAATAAATAAAAATAAGTGACGTGAAAAATAAGTGTTTAGACTCGTTTTATACATAAAAAGGTGTTTCATTGTTTTTTTTAGTCACCCTTTAAAAATCGCTTAGTGCCCTACGAGGCACATTCAATAATGGCTTTAGATTTTTTTTAAATTTATTGCTGGCCACGGAAACAAAGTCCTTCAGCCGAAACCATAAACGTTTAATTATATTTCTGTAAATATGGCCACCACAAAGAGGATAGGCAATTTGAGGCGGCGTGCTTGGATTGACTCGGGATTCCTTAGAACGGGCCGATACGGGTATTTTAGTTCGAGATTCGTATAATTTCGCGTTTTAATCTTCGATTAAGGCACAATAGCACTATCCTATTCCACTTTAAACTAGATTTCACAAAATAATTGAAAGTCAAAATAAAAACGAAACTTTTCCCTCCATAAGGCCCAGAGCGAATCAATGGCTTTAAAATGTTGATGGTGTTGCCCTGCTTTTGTAGTACGTCTACCATGTTTGCAGGGGCGCGGGTTGATAGTTTCAATGCCATTATTCGCAAAAAGCCTACATCATTGCTCAGCAGACTGAGGGGCAGCACCGACACCATTTTACAAGTCATACCTGATAGATATGACCTACCCATTATGGAATCTTTCATTCGGGTCCTGTTTGAATAGTCTCACAAGACACGGACGCGGGTGAGAGATCTGAGAGTCGGCTGCCACTTTTTATAGTTTAATTTTTGTGCAATTATTTATTATTATTAACACTAACCTAGTCTTTAAGTTATATTTGTAAGCTACTAACACTATTGGACCTTAAAAAAATATATTGTCTAAATAAATAATTAAATTATTATTCGATTGAAGGGGGTCGATTCAGAACGATTATCTTACGATTATTATCAGATATCGTACGATATCTGATAATAAACGTAAAAAAAATATATTCACAACACCCGAATCGAACGTCAAACTGTCGTATTCGAAACCGAACCGAAATGACGTCACTCTCGTACGATTACTCGAACTTCTCGTCTGGCAATGGCTACGAACGTTATTCAGAGCACAGTTATCGAATGAAAGTTACCGAACGCCTTATTGTTTACTAAGCAAGAACGTAATATGGAACCTCTTATTATTTTTAAAAAAATCTGGATTTTGTTCAATTTATTTTAATGCAAGATGCATTCTTATATTAAAGTCTTAAAAATGTAAAAGGATTTTCATTTTTCTAGTAATCTATTTCACCGATTAACTCCGTAAACGCTGTTGGATAACGATATCGTATTCGAATCCGAATAGAACGTTTAACTCGAATGTTCTGAATAGCTCGAAAAGCGCCCTTCGATGCTAGAACGATATCAAATCGAACGATTCGGTTACAATATCGAAGAGTTCCGAGTCGGGGTCCAGGGGTCCGTAAGTGTGGAAGTTTGATAGTTATAACACTTTATTTTATTTAAAAAAAACCGACCTCAAAAGTGTTTTTCCGCTTTCACTGTATTCGTTACCGCGATCTCCTCAAGAATAACTGCAACACATGTGAAAGTCCTCGTCAAAACAAATCATATGACCCTAAACACAAGTTGGCTGCTATGTATTGTTGAGAAGTTTTACTCCTTTGTCTCCCATTCCCATCATCAGAGCAGCTCTATGTCACCGTAACATTTTATTTTTAACAGACTTCAAAAAACACAAAAACAAAATTCAGTCAAATTGAGAACCTCCTCCTTTTATGAAGTAGGTTAAGAAATGAAATTCATCTTTAAGCGCTTTGTTGATAATGTCAGTACTGAGTACTAAAAAAACCTACCTAAAAAGTCATTAATCCCCTAGTTTGTCATTAATCACACTTAGAGAGGGAATATTTTCTTCAAATTTAAATGGGACTACTTCTGAGGTATCCTTTTTCCACCAAAAAAAGAATTATCAAAATCATTCACAAATTTAGTTTTTAGAGTTATCGCGTAACGTACGGTTTTGGATACCTAATTCTACTTACTGACAAAATGTGCAAAAAGGTAACCCTTATCTTCGGAATTTATATGCTGACATATCTGATATAATTCAGGCTGATAGAATATACCTACACATATGTTCCGAAAACTTAAATATACATAGTTCTTTAAGGTATATTCTAAATACCTTATTTTAATGTGGTAGGTGAACATTTATACAATACTTCTAAAACTATGTTGGTCCCATTTTATTGTTGCTGAAAACTGCATTCAAAAGTCTTTGTTGGGTAAGAAATTGCAATAATCACAATTTTCAGAACTTGAATAAAATTTCTCATTACTTGAATTCGAATATTTTGCATTGTGTCAGTATCATTCTCAGGGTCCTATTCCAGAACTCTACTCAATGCTCAAGTCAGGACTTGAGTATGATTTCAAGCACTGGAAATACGACCCTAATGGCAAGGACTTGAGTATGATTTCTAGTGCTTTATATCATACTCAAGTCCTGACTTGAGCATTGAGTAGAGTTCTGGAATACGACTCTTAAGTGTCGATGTTTACTTCCAGGTGTATATGTCGCTGCACGCGTATTCACAATCATGGCTGATCCCGAGTTCCCATGCACACGCGCCATTCTCCGACGACGGCGAGCTCATGGAGATGGGCAAGCTCGCCACCTCAGCACTCTCCGATTTATATGGAACCAAATACAAGGTAATTTTTATAAATCAAATCAAAAATATCTAAAAAAAATATGTGAAGATCGTCTTTTATCTTTCAGTGAATTCTTATTTAGATTTCATCTTGAATAATACAGCAATTTTTCAAAATATGTAAATGTTTTATATTACAGTTATACACATTTAGGATTATAAACGTTGAGAATTTTATAAAAATATTTTATATGGATATTTTTGATTTGATTTACATTTAAAACCAGGATCCCCTCAGAAGAATAAGAAATTCTTGAGGTTGCTCTTTGTAAATAGACATGAAATTTGTACAAATTTATCATTTACGATATTTATTTCAAAAGTTATATCTACACAGAAATAAGCTGAACTGTCATCGAAGTACGCAGAAGCTGTAATCTAAAGTTTTTTGTTTCACTGTAGTTTTTAAACTCGTAACTCCTATTCTATTCTATGGGAATGGCGCTTCTTTCTAATCCGTTCTTAATTTATTGCAATTAGCGGGAAGTTATCCGCATGTGCAACCTTTAACAAAGTGGTACACATATTTATGGGTATTTACATTAAAAATGGTGAGTCTCAGATAGGGTTCCAGTACCAGTCTAAACTCTTTGTATCGTACTTTTATATTAGCTTTCAAATTGCAATTTAATTGCAAATGTAAAAGTTATATACTTAGATGTGTATAAAATATGAAAAGACGTTCCCAATCAACTTGTTGCGCTCAAATACTTGGTACAGAATAGAAAGGAGCCTTCAATAAGTTCTAGATTGAAGAATTTCTGATTATGAAGCTTTTTTTATCAGTTGCCATTAACAACTCATTAGAAATTCGCAAAACAATTTTGTATCGTTTTGTATGATTCACTGTGGCACTTTTTTATGTTATCTATTTATAACGTACTTTTGAGGTAATTTTTGTTTGTTAGTACACCGTTAGAAGAACGGAGACTAATGACATTATCGGTAATAACAATTAACAGAACTAGCTAAATGCCAAAACTCGCACACCAAAGATTCTGTCCTTTATGTGACTCCAAACGACGTAATGTTAATGTACAATTACATTATATAATGTTGGGAGTCAAATTAGAGTAAATAATACGTACACTTAGCTACGTACTCCTTTTTCGAATTTCCAGACACTTCATTGTTTATTACACTGTATTTAGCTAAGTTCTATGTTTCAGGTGGGAACAGCACCAGAAATCAGACAGCCCGCATCAGGGATGTCCCACGACTGGGCAAAGGCCCGTGCAGGTATCAAATTCTCCTATCACATCGACCTACGTGACTCTTTCGGACCCTACGGATTTCTACTACCTGGATCACAAATCGTCTCTACCGCAAGAGAAACTTGGCAAGCAGTAAAGGCTATTGTAGACAATTTAAACCCCGGATAACATCTTCTACGGGACATAGCGTGCCACACGCTAAAACTAAATTGCTAATGATTTGTTGACACAGCGTAGGTCAGTCAGCATTAAAATGATCTAAACGGTGAAACTAACCAAAAATCACTTTGGACGGACGACGTGCCAATAATATCTACACGTTCTTAGTGTGCTCAAAATATCTAGTACAAGTTTGACAAAAATCGTGCACTTAAATTAAAAAACGTACAAAAGCACCTTTAGAAGTAGTACGCGAGAAATAAGCCAGTACGTACGTCATAATGAACAGTGAGTTCAATTAGTATAATGAAATTCGCACGCACCCTAAACGTACTGGCTAGAAACTGTATTTGTTTCCTAAGATTCCAAAATACTGTTGAAATGCGTTTCTTTTTTTTTAATACTTAGAGATACACAAAACAAAGATGTACAAGGGCATGTATTTATTTATACAAAATATATAGAATAGTTTTGTGTGATTCATAAACTTAGTTTTATAGTATTTATTTTATTTGTGTACTTAGGTAAATAGCTTAAATATAATATTTACTAGTGATTTTGGGATGGTGAATTTATAAAAATGTTATGGATTAAGTAGCAACAAATTATGTACCTACTTCAATTTAGATTAATGATGCATCCTCTGATAACTCTGATAAGTAGCATTATCTGATAAGAACATAGTTTATATATTTTAGTCAGTTTAGAATATATTGCTCAATATAAATAATGTTATACAAAACAAAAATGATATTATATTTTGCTTACAAAGTACTTTGTCGTCTTATTAACCCTTTACCGAACTTAACGGCTGGCTAAGAGGTATAATAATGGACCTTATTGACTAACATCCATATCTGTGCCGGTGAACGAAGGAACACACGGCAAATTTTGAACTTTATATTCGTATTTCAATAGAATATTTTTTGCCCCGTTTTTATCTCTATGAATACCTTTACGGCATACACTACAGTATACTAACGGTGTGGAGATTAGTCCTTGCTGTATGTTTTCTTCAAAATATTTATTGCAGTTTTTCGTTGTAAACGCTTCGCTATAGATTGACAAATGTTTTTGTTGCTTTATTGTCTTTATAATATCATTGTGTCTAAGTTTACGGTGGCCCTTAAAGTTCCCTTTATTCATGAAATCGAACACGGCGCCGTAAACCACGAGCGTTCCGGCCTTTTTGCCGAAATATTCGTCGACAATCGTGTAGTTCACTTTTGATCATGTATATACTTGTCAAACTTTAACCGCTCGCTGCACCCGCTTCTGTTCGTAGCGTTGCTATTTCTTGTTGAACCATTTGCAAGATTGATTTTGCGAGAGATTGTACATCCCAGCGGCTTTTCTGTAGACTCTCTATCATTCCTAATTTTTGCATCTATATCTTTGACGAATCGTAATCTCTTTTTTCTCGGTGCCGCTCTTTAGTTTCATATATAACTTTACCCTTTTTCAGCGTTTTGTACTCAAACTCGTCACTGGTTCTCGTGTATGTAACTATCGGGGTTTTGGCGCCCGGATCAACGGACATTGAAACTCAAATGCCGTCGGTGCAAAAACTATAACCGAAATGTTTGAGCAGGCTGATATATTTACTCCAATATTCTTTGATATTTTCTGTTTGTTTGAAAAAACAAATATACGCGATTTAAATCCGTAAAAACAGTTTCATTTCCTATTCTGTGTTTATTGTAATAAAGATAATAATTCTCTAACAATGCCGTGCTGTTATATTCGGTGGTGTAGGAAAAACAGCAAAACATCTAATTACAAAACAAACGGAATCACATTTCATCGGTAATTAAATATTAAATATGTAATTCTGCAATTTTCGTCCATTATAGCACAGCTCTACTTAACTAGTCGATTTGAAGTGAAACAGTTGACGACACCCATTGACGACACCCGTCAATTGTTTCGAACTCGGGCTAGCCAATCGGAGCGCAGTTGTCACAGTAATGATATGGCAGAATAGTTTTCAAACAAATTAAATGACATGTCGTCTCTATTTATGGTTATATACTCGATGGTGAATTGTAAAGGTTGAAGCTTTGGAAACAACAGCTTGATTTTGATTGCCTCTCCCGATCAGACACTGCGTCTTTTGCGAATCGACGCGTGTAATATTGCAAATGGACTATCCGATAGGATCGATTCCGATTTGAATTAAAATCAGGGCCCAGGAGAGAAAAGTACAGTAGTGTTTGAAAAAGTAATTTACCAAATACGACAATTCAATCCCGAGTCTTGACAACTCTTTTACGTCGTTTCTAATCGTTTTACGTACAGACGAAAGAATTATTTCCCTTTTTGATACAGTATACTAACACTTCGTGGTTGTCACTATGAGTTTCACGAACACGCTTTTTTCGGTTCAAGCAAGCACTTTGAAATGGATGAACGGCCGTGGTCACTATTCCCGCACGAATTACAGGTTTCAATGGAATTACAACTGTCGCCCGGCATTACTTATTTATATATTTGTACTTTCACTTGAATTCTTCATTAAATACATAAAATTTGTCGGCAAAAAATAGTCATTTGCTTAGTTTAGTCCCTGATGCAAGGTTTTCAACCTCTTCTCAAGAATAAAAATAATTTATGGATAAAATACGGTTTATTTGTCAGTAAATACAGGTAGTCAATATGTTACCATTGTTTAAAATCACTGAGTATTATTGAAAATCCAGATTGCAACCAATTGGTAAAGTTTATATTCGAAAGTGAAACGAAGCACCCCTGAAGAGTTTGAGCTTCGTTCCTAGCTCATAAGAAAGATTGTTGGTAGCATCCATGGAATCAATAATATTAGAACAGAACCAAAAAAACACCGCGGATAACTGTAAAATTGGCGAACGTCATTATTTTCAATTTTTTTTTGGTGGCACTTTGGTTATTTGTATTTGCGTATGTGATGTATTTGACAAACAATGTGTAGATAGCATGTGTGACAAAATATTTGCCTTGTTTGTCTATTTCGACAAATACAGCAAAAACACCAAACACGCTTACGCATGTTTGGTGCTCGACCAGCTCATGGTAACCCACGAGCTGGTCGGTTTCACGACGCACATCGAAGGAGTCGTCGCCTTACGTGGCTACCGCTTTGCCAACTGAGCAACGTGTGGTTGTTGCAGATCTTTGTATTGGACGTTTAAAAGACTTTTGTGTCGTTGCGCCACCTGTGAGAACTTATGAAACTTGTTATGTTTATGATGTTACGTCGAGAATAAAATTTTGATTGTTAAATACATTTTTAATTTTGATGTTTTTGTGTTCCAATTGGCGTGACGGATTACACAAACGAGTATCCAAATTGGCGCATATTATTGTAACTGGTAAAGTTGAGAATACAAGATTTAAGTTCCAAATATTACTGAATGGAACCAAAAAAATTCTATTCTCGTTTATAAGTGGATAAATAAATATTCATCATCATCATGTACAGCCTGACTTCACCCATTGCGGGGTATCGACCTTCGAGTTTTGGTGTGTGTTGTGTGCCTCTCACCACGGTCCTGCATAACTACAGATTATGCATGAATAAAAATAGTACCATTATTCCTAATAAGATTGATTTAGTTAAATTTATTTGAACTCGATCTTGTTTCCTGAATTCCACCATTTTTGAGTTAGAACAGTATTTGGTTTCATGTGCGATATGATAAGATAGTTGTTTACCGTTGATACACTTACAATAATTTAATTTCTTAATATGACCTTTGTTCATTATGAACAACATGACTCCGAGCTCCGCTATCAGCACTTTAAACAAAAAAATATGTTGTAGTTACTTGATATACTTGTAGTATAATATGTGAACGGTTATTCCTGAATAATCTTTTCTCTTTATCGAAATATAAGGCATTTTATACGATCTGAGGGATTTTTACTGCTTTATTGATATTAATTATCCTTGTGGGAGTCATTTGTTCTCCGTGTCATCATCATGCTAAAATGCATATTATGAATTATTAATTGGGAATTGGTGGAAGAAGTAGATGACACTGACCGCTTTCTTTATTTTTGTCTCAATTTTAACAAATAATGTTTTTAATGTGTCACTTGTGCATGCTGATACCCCTATTCTTATTACTATTTTGATCCTTCTATCTTCCAATAGTCTATTAATATGTTAACAGATTCGACAATAATATTAATTCATATACGTTGTATTGTAAGTTTATTACTTAATTAATTTTTCACTCGTTTAGCGTTAGGCCCTTCATCACAAACTAAAAAGAAATACTACGTATCCCTTCATGTACCCTTGGTATGTAGATCCATCCTATTTAATAGTCATAATTGTATTTCACTAAAAACCCCAACCACAAAGGCCACTATTTTAAGTAGAAAAATAACCTACTATCTCTGTTTAGCACACTATTCTATCCATCGTGTTTTATAATTTTTCATTAATACGCTCTTTGGAAAAAACATTTTAGGAAACTGTGTGTTGTATTAGACATGTGGAATAGCGTTACATTTCTATCGCCGTGACTGTCGTTCCGGTTCCAAAAAAAATCACAGTGAAAAAATCATCGTGATTTTGTCACGACTGTTACTTCCGTGACCTTGTCACGCCTATAACTTACATCACGATATACGGTTTTAGCCAGCGGCTTCTTTTCTTTCTAATACTTATAGCCGTTTTTTATAGAATGATTTGTCTAAGTTTTTACTCCCTTTGTAATAAGTTTCAATTCCATTCAAAAAGTTGATTTTGTATTTAGTGTAATTTTGTTTGTTACTTACTTAATGCGAATCTTTGGATTGTTAAAAATACCAATAAAGTGTAATGCAATTATATTTCTAGTAGAATACACAAAGTAGATTGTACATAAATATAAAATACCAACTCTTCTTATAATAAAACAAATATACAAAAGTATTTTACTTTGTTCATGAATAGGTTTATAATAACTGCTGCAGATTTTTTTCATCCGCCTTTTCTAGTAGTAGTAAGCATCTACGACTCTTCTGAGTGAGCAAAGAAAGTCATCCTATTTCATTCACTCCCATCGCCGAAATGGCCCGATTTGAAGAGAACTACAACGAGTGACGCGCTCAGTCACCACGAAACGGAAATCGCGCATCGTATCAAATACGTATGTCGTGATGTGAGTGACGGGGATAGCTATTGGAACGGAGGAACAACTATGTGACTTTGGAACGTCGTTCCTTCGGAACGAGTCACGGTAGTACTGTTTGACAGCGGATCATCGTGATTTTTTCATCGTGACGTTATTTATCACCCACCTCTAAGTAACTCTTATTAGTTTGTGTTGTATTAGTAGTTTGTGACCGTGAGGGAGCCCCCGGAGCCACCAAAATCCAATCAAAATACCTAGGTTTGCAATTTTCTCATGTGTATTGTTTCCTAAGGAAGAAGGACCTGTTGCGTCAAGTAAATTTTCTGTGCTACGACAAAATACTGCAAGATTTCTTTATATTACGTTAAATCTCATTTATTGTAGTGGAAGTGAGTGAATTAAGATCCTTCGTGAAATGCTCCGTTCAGATGCTCAAGATTTCCATGGACATGATACGAATTTGAGTAACATGCTCAACATTACTGTTGACGCAATAGCTCTAATCGAGAAAGAATTGGATCCTTACGACCTCGTTTCCCTAGTATTCGTTTTGTACGATGTACCAGACACTGCACTACAGCGTCTTATTGTGTATGAAAGAGTTTACAAAGACATGAAGGGAAATACTCTGAATCTGCTGTATGACTGGGCTAATCACGCGCAATCGCGACCATCTTGGAGGTTTGAGTTCTTAGAAGCGCTTGCAATCTGCCAACTATACAGTATCATAAGAAAACTAGGATTCGATGTTGCAAACATCAAAAGACTTTACGCCCCAGACGACATTCGAACCAACTTTTACATCAATCCCATAAAGAAATGCTTATATAAACTATGCGAACACACCACATCCGAAAACCTAGAAAAACTTAAAAATACTCTAAAAACCTACGAAATTGACACGTCAGATTATAAGAGCTGTGAATTAGTTTTGTTAGAGTTAATGTGCAAAAAGTTTATTATCATTGACAACCTGAATATTGGGAAACTTTCTAACAATAAAATACAGTTGGAAAAGCTAGCTAAAATTGTTGAGAACTTTACTGGATTACAAAAATTTGCTGCTGAACTTAGAGAATTACAGGGGCAGAGCAATGAAAAAGAAAAAACGATGAGGCATGCTGGTACAAATATTCCACTTGCTAAAGAGAATTCTGATGATACAAAGTACTATGATGATGATGACGATTATGTCGATGAGGAGGATATTGATCAATTCATGGCAACTGCCTTTGAGGAAATATACCAACGTCTCGGTGAGGTGCATTTTGAGGAGCCATCAGTAAAAACCCTAAAATCTGACACAAGAAAACTTAACAATGCAAATGTCATAGATGGTGCATATTCCATAAACAATCCGAAGAGAATTGGTGTATGCTACATAATAAATCAAGAAGACTTTCATCCTTCCAAAGATAGTATTGAGAAAAATACACAATGTACACCTCTAGAAAAGCGATATGGTTCAACCAGGGATAAAGAAGTATTGGAGAGAACTATGGCTTCACTTAATTTTGAAGTGATTAGTCACCGCAACTTAGACCACAAAAAAATGATGGAATACATTAAAAATATTGTTCAGTACCGAGTACACCATGATGATAGTATGTTCATGTTATGTATTCTTTCTCATGGAGTGAGAGGTCATGTGTATGCTGCCGATTCTGTTAAAGTTAAAATTGACACTATTCAAAGCTTGTTAGATGACTCTCTTCAAGGACGGGAACTTGATATACCAAAGATAATGATACTACAGGCTTGTCAAGTGAATTTGAATGAGGAACCAAAGTTTAGAATCGCGGCTGATAACCCATTCCAACAAAATACTTACCACTTGAAAAAATTGAATTTCCTCATTTATTGGGCTACTGCTCCAGAATTGGAAGCGTACAGGGATGTGATAAAAGGTTCATTTTTTATTCAAGTTTTATGCTGTATAATACAAAAATATGCTAAACATGAGCATCTGTATGACATTTTCACAAAAGTGACTGATGGAGTTGCTAAAATTTGTACAAAAATTAAAAAAGATCAAGTTCCTATTTTTGAATCCACTTTGAGAAAAAAACTGTATTTGCAGATTCCAGAGTAACATATTGACAAGTTTTTAAAATAAATTATACAGACAAATCATGTATTTCATAAATAAGTAAGAAATTTTGTACATGTTTTATGATATTTATTTTGTTGACATTTACTACTATTCACTGTTTTGGTTACAAAAATAAAACTTTTTTTAGGCAATTTGTTCTATATTTATTGAAACATCTGTTTTTGTAAAATCCATTACTGCTGCCTCCAAACTTTTCCTCTCTTCATTAGTTTTTAAATTAGCCCACATTTTGTCTAAATATGCTCTTTGATGTTTCTGTATAAATTTAAAACTGTGTTTCAACGTAGCGCTGACATGTAAAGTTCTTAATCTTACATCCAGTTTACCTATTTTTGTTATAAATGGTAAAGAGCTAGTGACAAATTGATGTGGGCCATGTCGACATCGCAATATAGCTATTCGCGTATGTTCATTACAATATTTTGTTAAAAACCCAGTCCGTACTGCTGCTACACCGAAGTCGCCATAGAGCTGTTGAATCTTGTTCATCACTGTTTCATGGAACGATTTAGATATCAAGGTAAGAGGTTTGCTGTCTGGTACCATTGGAGAATTTATTTCTACAGTAATGTATCTGCGAAACAAAAGTATATTTTAGTTATGATAAAAATGTACTAAGGACACTGACGCTTCTAGGACTTAATTTCTAATTTAGGAATTTAAATATTCTAAAATGGTTCTAGTTTACGTCCTCATTACTGCCTATAGTTTTAATTTCGTTATTCTGTCGCATTAGTTTGGTACAATATTTTTTATTTAAAATATGTAATACATAGATTACCTGTTTTTAAAACGAACCATTATTTTTATTAGATTATTATTTCTTTTTACTTATTTACGGTGCCGTATTAGCATTTCGCCAGTATCAAAAATGCGTTAAAAACAACCGCTATAATCTTTAATATTTCAAAATCTTCCGAAGAAAATATATGTACTCTGTGGAAGAAAACGAAGAGGTTAAGTTTATATTTTTAGCATATTCTTTTTATGTAGGCTTCGCGGTATGCGTTTGTGCCACACACACAAACAAGATTTATTCTATGTAATTTCTTTGAATGCAGTAGTCATTACTCGGCACCCAAACACTACCAAATAGCCTCTCAGTTTCGGTAATGATGTATATTACTAATATCTAATTGCAGTGCATTCATAAAATTAGGTTTACTTTCTATTAATTTGAGTATAAAAATACATATACTCTTCACATAAACATAAACAGAATAAAAAACAATTATTGCTATGAAAAGTGAAAACAGAATTTCAGATGGAAGTTGGAACTTAAGCTATTGGACTATTGTAACAAAGCGGTTTGCAGTGTCAGTATAAAAATCGTTCTCAAAACAGGCGTAAAGACAAAATATCGAAACGCCTTCTTTAATTCAAAAGGTTAAACGAATATCATGTATATGTACATAGGGCGCACTAGAAGATTCCGAAACTGGGCAAATATTAAAAAGTAATTACAACAATTGAAAATCGAAACTGAGCAAATATTAAAAAGTAATTACAACATTTGAAAATGGAACTCTTTGGCCGTAGAATACAGTTTGTTAAATCTGACTGTCACTTGTTTTTACATTGTGGCATCGTTTTAGAAATTGTCTACATCACCATGGATTTAACTCTTGAAAATTTTCGAAGTATGATTTTTTACGACTTCAAGTGTAGAAGCGGAGCTTCGCTCGGATTCAAACTGCTTATGACAATAAAGCGCCATTCAAGACGAGTATTTATAGCTAGTTTGCAGAATTCAAACGTGGTCGTGTGAATCTCAGTGACGAATTTCGCGATGTCGCCCCTCCACTGCTGTGAGTAACAAAAACATCGATGCTGTGCGCCGTATGATCAAGACAGACAGGCATGTGACATACCATGAGATTCGGGCAACTTTAGGCGGTGCTTTCGGTGGATCCCACACAATTTGACTGAGGCTTAAAAAACGGATCGCGTCACTTGGCGCGCGTGCAAAGTGCCTCTAAGCGGATGATTGCTTCTTTTTTAAATAAAACTGGACATGGGGCTACTGTTGATTTGGAGAATCGTTGTACCGTGAATAGTGCTTGGTACACGACCATTTGTTAGCCGGAAGTTATATTGACAAACTCCGTAAACATAACCGTAAACAACGTATCAAGATGATACCACGATAATGCCAGTTCTCACATGGCCAGACAGACAAATGAATTTTTGAAGGTGAACAACGTTGAGCCATCCCGCGTACAGTCCCGACCTGGCACCTTGTGACTTTTATTTATTTCCAGAAATTAAGAACCAGTTACGCGGTCAACGATTTTCATCACCTAAAGAGGCTGTCAAAGAGTATGAAAAATATGTTTCAGAGATTGTCACGGAGGAGTGGCATAAATGGCACCCGCGACATAGGGTTTGCCAAATGCAACATAGCCATGGGGCTGAGTGTTTGTGTTATTATTATTTAGTATGACAAGAAAGGGGATAGTAAAAAAATAGTCGAATTAAGAATTAATTCAGAACCTTCTCCTTTTATTGAAGTCGTTTAAAAATAAATAATAAAGCGTATGCAAGGATAATTTTTCGTAAAAAATAATAGGAGACATGTAATAGTGTCCAAAATCTCAAGATTTTGGACACTTACTATTTCTCGCAAGATCGATCAAGAACATCGTAGTTTATAAACAAGGTGATAATTTAAAAATTGCATGCTTCGCAATGATCTTATATACAAAAAAGTATGCTTCGGTAGAAAAACCTGTCGGACAAGAACTGGCGTCGTAATCGAAGTGAAGAGTCTGTACACTCGACATGCAACGTGTTCATGGGACTGGATTTTTGAGGTTCTGACTGAAATGCTGTCATACTACTCGGGTCACATATTCGAAATAAGCTTAAAACAAAAAAGATGATCGCTCCTGTAAATACCGTAGAGGTACTGCTTATTTACGGTCACATTTAACCATTAGGTACTTACCTACCTATGCATAGACAGGGAGTATCTATCCGGTACAATTTTAAACCGACCTCATTGCAATTGCATGTGCTAACCCTACAAAATTCGAAGTTTGAACAGTTAGAATTAGGTTGGAAATGTGTTCCGATTTGTTTCAATTAGATAATAATGTTATTATGCTCATAAATAAATGTTAAAAACCGCCATACATTTTCTACTGTCAACTATGCTTTGAGGCCCACATCTCGGCGAGTGTTGGAGATAGATGAGAGGCGCTCAAACAAAAGTCGTACAGAATAAGTACGAGCCAATTGCAGCAGATATACGAGCAGATAAAAAAAATTTCAAGATGGCGGACTCAAAATGGCGGCCCGAAATAAAAGTGCTCCGATCCGACTAAAATTTGACAACCAATCGTGTATGGAGGCTCATAGTATGCATCTCCGAGCGAAATTTGGATCCCGCCATTTTCGAAGATGGCCGCCATACAAGTGAATTTTCGGTTTTTTGACCAGCGTTTTTCCCAGAAGAAGAGCGGGTATATAAGAGTAATGTATGCAGATAATGGTTGGGTGGATTTGGTGAGTATCAAAAAGTACCAAAACCTTCGAAAAGTACTCCGCATCGGATAGGACTCCAGCTGCACGGGCGAAGTATACGTTTTAGCCCTAAGGTCTCCAAACAAATGTTGCTCCACACCCTGGGCAGTTTCTACAGGGAGTAAAAAAATTCAAAATTCGCAAAACAAAATGGCCGCCATTACCACCCAAGGCAAACAAAGAGAATTCTCTACTGAAATATAAAGTTCAACTCCCAATTTGTCACCAGATACAAAGAAAGCCCTCGCGGGCCGCTTTAGCGGCCCGGCGCAACGCGCGCCATCTAGTTAGATATATATATATATATATATATATATATATATATGTATAAAGCTACAAATCCTGACTCACTTAGAAAAATAGAACGCAAACTTCCCGATATGGTGGAAAAAAGATATTTATACCGTTGTACGCGGATAGGCTCCAAGGCAAAGAATCAAATATGACAAGACCTCAATGTGGGAAATGTAAACGAGTGATCAACGGCCTGCAAAAACTATAATAATACATGGGGGGATTTTTGTGCACTTTTATGATACACCTTGGTCAATTTCTGCAGACAGTAAAAAATGTTCGAAAATCAAATAAACAAGATGGCCGCCATACAAATTTCGAAGCCTTCTATAACGGAAACTATTAGAGGTAGGTAGAAGGTGCTGGAAGGAATGTCGTAGAGGGTAATAGTGGTCAACTGCCTTTTTTAAATAAATTCAAGATGGTGAATTCAAAAAGGCGGTCGAAGAAAAACTTGCTTCGATGCGGCTGAAAATTGGCATGCGGGGGTCTTCCGGAGTCCTTAATCATAATTTAAAAAAAAAACAAAGAAAAAACTTTTGACCCCATCAAACTAGGGAATTTCCTGTACTATGAGTACCAGAGTAACGATAATTCTGAAAGCAATACCCAGAATACCCTGACTAGGACCAACTTAAAAATGTTTTTTTCACAAGTTGGATCAAATAAGGGATCGAATCTGGAACCTCCTCATCAAGCGCCCATAGTACTAATCACTGTGCCACCGAAGAGCATAAGCACACCCCGTAATCTGAAACCGACCACGCACCGCAGGCCGAGCCCGACCCTACCGTAGGTGGGGTATAGGGCTCGTAATACTTATACCTACTAAAAATTAGTCAATGTAAAAACTAACTACAATAACCCGCCAGTTTTAGAACTTATAGTATTACTTAATTGTTGAGCATTGGCTATAGACCACCAGCTTAAGCAAGGCTTAAACAGGTAACAAATAATGAAGATTACTCAACACGTAATAAAACTTGAACACTTGAACTAAAAATTAATTCGGGTAAAAGTGTAAAATCTGTAACTGTTACTTTACGCGGTAAGCATAACATTATTTATTTATTTATTTGTTAAGCATTGGCTATAGAGCCATCAACTTAAACAAGCAACAAAGGATTAAGAAACTTAAAACGTAATAATATTTAAAATTAAAAATTAAATTGTGAAAAATTGTAACTACAAAAATCAGCCATTTTTTTATCCGATGTAAGCGTTAAGTGTAACATTTTTTAAATTTATTTGTTGAGCATTGGCTATAGAGCCATCAGCTTAAACAAGCAACAAACAATTAAGAAACTCAAAACCTAATAATAATTAAACTAAAAATTCATTTGCGAAAAAACTGTAACTCGCGTAAGCGTAACACATTTTTATTTTTTTTTTAATTTATTGAGCATTGGCTACGAGGGCATCAGCTTAAAAATGCAACAAAAATAAATGAATTAACTAAACCTAAACACTACAACATATTAGTTTTTTTATTTCAATTTATTAAGGCTTTGCCAAAGCCATCAGCCTAAACATGAAATTTAATCATGTTTCTGTAAATATGGCCGCCACAAAGAGGATAGGCAATTTGAGGCGGCGTGCTTGGATTGACTCGGGATTCCTTAAAACAGGCCGATAGGGGTATTTTAGTTCGAGATTCCTATAATTTCGCGTTTTAATCTTCGATTAAGGCACAATAGCACTATCCTATTCCATCTTAAACTAGATTTCACAAAATAATTGAAAGTCAAAATAAAAACGACACTTTTCCCTCCAAAAGGTCCAGAGCGAATTCACAACGTATTAATCAATAATAAAAAAGAAAGTACCTATTTACAAAGGGCCAAAAGTATTCATGAAAAAATTAAAAAAAATATTATATAAACTAAAATAAGACCCTGTACAGTATTTGGTTGTAAGCGTAACATTTATTATTTATTTATTTATAAGGCATTGGCTTCAAAGCCATCAGCTTAATGGTAACAAATAATCAAGAAACGCACAACGTAATATACATAAACTAAAAATTAATTCGTGTAAAAATGTAACTATTAAAACCCGCCATTTGAACTTTCGACTTCGTAAGCGTAACATTATTATTATTTATTTGTTGAGCATTGGCTATAGAGCTATCAGCTTAAACAAGCAACAAAGGATTAAGAAACTTAAAATGTAATCATACTTAAAATTAAGAATTAATTTGTGAAAAAAACTGTAACTACAAAAACCCGCCATTTTGATTCTTATCGTAAGCGTAACAAAAAAAGAGGAAAATATTTTTCTCAACCACTATTGTAAAAATAGTAAAAGATACAGACATACGTTTTTGTATATAAGTCTATCTCACTTTAGTAGTTAAATATTTGTAGAAATTATAAGAAAAATGGCACGCTTTTGAAGTTACGAGTACAGTTTTTACAAAGATTATTTTTATTTTAAGTATATTATGAAGTAAATACGAAGAAAGAAATAGTAATGAAGAAAGTTAGAACTATAGTCCTTATTTTAAACCAAACTACAAAATCCTGAAAATTACACTAGTATTCGAATTCAAAGTTTTTGTTCAAAGCTGTTATGTTCAAAGATGATATCATATTATGTGAAAGTGAAAACATAAATATTGACTCCCGCCGCTTAAAAGACTATTGAGAAAGCCGAAACAAAAGAACTACTTAGTATTTATGAGAAAGTGAAAACATAATGTAGCTTCTTGTATGTTGTTGAAATGCTGTGAAGCACAAGCTCCTAAAATTGCGGACCCAACTAAAACGGAATCCTTTTCGTGAGGGTTTAAAACAGGAAAGCCGACAGTATTAGCTTGTATTTGCACGAATAATGGGTTCTTCGTTATTCCGCCGCAAATAAGCAATGATTTCAAGGTTTGATAGCCCGCTAGCATCAATGCGTCGATGATGTAGCGCGTACCGTACTGTATAAATTAAATAGTATTTTTAGTCTTGTGTTAATAAATCTTAATAAATTTTGTCACACATTTTTGGCAAGTACTAGTGGTGGAGAAATTTTAAAGAAATTCTAGTTTTCTGTGTATACTTACCGATAGTCCTTGCAGAGTTGCCAAGTAAAGAAGAGCCAAATTTTCCTCACTGCTATTGATAGTCAATCCTGTAATCATGCCTTTCATGGTAGGGTCGGGCAATGGTTCTAACTTGGGGACTGTAGGGCAGGACCTCTCGCTGCCGAGCGTGGTTGCCGCCATGCTCGATAGCGAGGAGTCCTGGGAGGCGGTGGCCTCCTTTTGCGCAGAGGTTATGTCGCAAAAGGAGGCCGCGGAGCGGGTGCGCTAGGACGCGCCGGACGCGCACCCGCTTCGGCGCAGACGTACGGGGAGAAGGCGAAGGCAGTTCGCTGCTCGCCTGATCCCCTAGTGAGACCAGTGGGCTCTGGACAGGGACTCCGGAGCCTGCATTGCACGGCCTCACTCGTCGTCGGAGGACAACCGACTCGCCCCTCCGTTGGCGCGGGAGCCCTGGCGTAAGCTAGGGCGGCAGGGCGGCGTCGTGGTGAATGTTCACTGATCCCACGGCGCCGACTCAACCGGCGAGAGGGAAACCCGGGGGGGTTTTAGTGGGGTAGGCCCTCCAGCCTGGAGGGAGAGTCCCCACATAGCCTCTGAGTCTCCCTAGGCTCAGGGGTATCCATAAAGATTTCCCCCCGTAAAAAAAAAAAGGGTCGGCCAATGGCGATCTGTTGCCATGAAAGTCGGGCCAAACATGGAAATCTTTAGTTAACAGACTTACATAGGAATGACCAAGTAACTTCGCCATTTTAGAGAGCAAGCTTCGTAAATAATTTCGAACT